GTTATAGTCATAAAAACTTAGATAAAGTATTCCCCCAAAACCCCAAAACCCCATATGCTTCCTTTAACTAGAACTTTCTTATTAATATGAGAAATTACATTTAATTTTTTAATAAACTAGTTTAAATATAAATTTGTGCAATATAAGAGTTTGATTTACAATTAGTTGCTTGCGTATGTGTTTATAGGCAAACGCACTAAGCTGTTTACTTATTATATTGTTCATTCATCTATCTAGATAGATGTGCAACCAATTTTATTATTTTCGAGGAACTTGGACTGCTCATGTGAGTGTTTTTAGCCTCTGATGTTGTCCTCATACATCTTCTAATGATGTTTAAATCTACCAAATACAAGTAGACTAAACAAGCATCCGACTAAATAGAAACTAATGATTATGGCACACCTGACAGAAACTACAGATTAGTAATCTAGAATCTATTTTTCTATGTTTTCATTGTTTATTTTTTCTTCTTCAAATCTCCAGTATGCTTTCTAGATGATAACGATGTAGACTACAGAGTATGCAACACTGCTTGAGATCTGCATCAGAATTAGACAGTTGATATATTCACTAATTTTATTTGTCTTCTCCTAAAGAGTCTTAAGGAATCTGGGATTATTTCCATTGCTTTTTATCTTTTTGAGATGAATCAAGCTTTGAGTTGCTTGGAAGAGGCCGAAAATTCCTTGAATGAGAGTCAAGCTGTGCATTAACAGTGAAATTCCTTAGAGGAATACAAATGTGATCATGTCATAAAGGAATTTAACTTACTAGGATCTAGTATTGTCAAAGTCTTCCATATCGTTAGATTCTTCTTATTTTTGGGGTACTTACCCCTTGAATTCAAGTGATTTTTTCTTGTCTAAACTATCAATCTTAATAATATCCTTGAATTCTTGAACGACATTTACTAGTCCGTAGATAATCATGACAATACTGATAGCGAGGACTGAGAGTCCATATCTCATTGTCCACTTTTGACTCTCATTTAGTGCATACTGTTTTTCCTTGTCAACATCTTCACTTCCAACTACTTCAGACTCGTTTAGGCAGTAGGACGAGCTCTTAATATCAACTTTTTCATTTGTAGATGCTAACTCTGCATCATTGAAGTCATTTTGAGTGAGATTTGCTCCAATGCGGATAGACTTAGTGTTAGACCTATCACTTTCAAAGGAATCCTTAGATTTCAGTTCTGGCTGATTTTTTGAATTTTTAGATGGCATTATAGGATTTATTAGATTTTTATTATAAAATATTAGAGAAGCGATCGTTTAAATACTTACTTTCATCACAATAATTCTGATTTCTTTAATTATTACTGCAATATCTTAATCTTAATAGCTGGGGTTTTGGGGTTTTGGGGTTTTGGGGTTTTGGGG